TTCCTGCTGGTTTCCTCAGGATTGTGATCAGTGAGGTTTTACTCTTCTATTAATAACTTTGTGCTCAATAAAACTCCTTAAAGAAAATTAAAAACCTTGACTTTCACCATAAAAAAAGCAGTTGCTGACAAAGTTTTGCTGTATCTCTTGTAAGCCAATACTAATAGGGAAAGTGTTAATTGCCATGAAAGCTTCTAGCTCTTTTCCATCTTTCCTACTTCACTTACACATCAAGTTACCAAAGGACAGTTTCAATTCTACCTTCTGATTAGATTCTGGTACCAAACAGGAGACATCTTTGTGGTGATCCAGGAATTTTTCAAAGTCTTCATCACTGATGACAAATTTCTCTGCTTCTCTCAGTGCATCCTCACCAGTGTTCTCCCCTTCAATTAGCAGGCACTGGAACACCTGAAGACAGAAAGCATCTGGTCAAGATTTTTTGTTTTCACTTGCATTGAGGATAAGAGACTCTCTCCACAACAAAAACCTTTAGTTGTCTCAGTGGCAATGTATTTAATTTTTCTGTCAGTGGAGCCACACTGGCACAAATTGTGATAAATTAATACTACATGAAGGGCATGCTGCAGATATATATTTAGGAAATTAACATTACATAGTTCTAAATGTAATTATACAGTCATGGTTCCTGATCAGGTTTCCACACAAATCTTCACTGCTCTGGTCTTAATAAGGGATCAGATAATCAAAGCTCACGTAAAATTTTGATTGAACCTCAAGTACCATGGCTGCACTATAAATGCCCGTAAGTAATATGTATGATGAAGACCATTAAGTCGATCTTTCAGATTAAAGAATATAACCTGATTGTTGACTATAAGTTTACTAGCTTCAGATGGTCACAGAAAATATGTGGAAGACTCCCGAGAAACAAAATGTAATAGTTTGTCTCTCTAACAGCCTCTTTCTAAAGGCCAGGTCCTCAAATACTTTCAGAATAGACTTTGAGAAGGGAAAAAAAAATGTGCCTCTGCCATCAACATGCTCTGTCACCTCAGTAAGAAAGTAGGCCAGGAAGCTTTATAAAATATTAAAAAATATGTCATATTTTCCTTACACTCCTTTAATAGGACCAAGGCTTCACTTACAGTGATTTTATTTTTTTCTGCAAAATCATGTGTATATACCAGTTTCCATGAAGCTAATAACGAGAAATTATTCCACAAGTTCTCCCATATTTACAAGTCACATCATTTCTACACATTTTCAAACTGGTAACATAATGTATTTAATATACTTCTAGAAGAAAATATCATAATATATACATAGTAACCATTAATACTCTACAACAGAACATGTCTAATGTACACATATGTTGGTGATAATACATTAATACTGTCTTTAATTGTATGCTAACTCTTCCTTATTTTCTCTACACCATGACACATTTCCAGACGTCAAAGGCCCTCTGTCTTACTTTCAGCATCATAAAAAAATAGATCTACCTATGCTGAAATAGTAATTGCCTTTAAATATCACAACAAAAAAGATTTCTGACATATTAGGCTCCATGTAGTTGCAGAAAGAGACAACCTAACTCAACACCACATAACACTGATAAGAAGTCCACTAACACCAGATCAGGCTGGAGCTGGAGATATGACTGAAGTCATTAGAGGGTCAGACAATTCCAGGAATTAATTACTTCATTACTTCTTTTCTCTGAATGGGAAACCTATGGTATACAATACTTTCTTACCTTCCAGCGCACAGGGTTGAGTGCCTTGATCTGCTCATTCATATCTTCCTCAACATTAAACCTGTTGATCACTGAGTTTATCTTGAAAGCAACAGCATAGTCTCGACACCATTGTCTCAGTTTATGCAGATTTTCCACATGGTTCTTCTTTCCTTGACCACGGCCAATCAAAACATTGACATCCTCATTAAAACTATCACACGAAATTGCCAGAATGTCTAAATATTCACCTGAAAAAAAGTTTTAAACATTAGTATTCAGTCCCTCGGTTAAAAACTGTGAGGAGCCTGCCCGCTTTCATATTCTTGTCATCTGTCACAAAGTGCCATGTAAATACAGGTCTGTGAAGTCATCACATGAACCGCAAAAGTGACAGCACCAGCAGCATCAAAACATGCATTTAGTTTGTGCGTCCCCAGCGTTATGGTAACAGTTTGAGCTACTAGTTTATTACACTAATATACCAAAAAGGCAATAGTAGAAACTGCCTATGTTCACAACATATAATTAACAGTATTTCTCTGGTATTTATGTTTGGTTTGCATTTACTGTAAATGAACCACTAACAAACCATCTCCCACTTGCACCAAATGCCATCTTTGGGTGAGGCTGCCCCAGGGAGGCCCCAAACCCCACCAGTGCTGTTGGGCACAGCTGTTTTTCCTTACCATACTTCTTGAACCACCGCTCTTTTATCAGGCTGCCATTGCTCACAATGCTGACACTTGGTAGCTTCAACTCCTGCTTGCAAAACTGCACCAGTTTGCCTACAAATTCGCCTCTGTCCTGAAGAAACGGTTCTCCTCCGGAGAAATTTATTTTCTCCATTCCTAGAAAAGGACCAAAACAAGATGCTGTGGAGCTCTGCCTGCCTCTTGCCCGCCTCTC